TAACTGTTTCGAATCTAGGCAAATACAAATTTCCCCAGACTTTTTAGGAATGACCACTATGGAGTTAACCCACTCAGTAGGATGCAATACTTTAGCAATTACACCAAGTGATTTTAATCTATGCAGCTCTGCTTTCAATTCTGGTTATACCGCTGCTGGTACTCGTCTAGTAGGCATTATAGCAGGTTTAACTTCAGCATTGATGGTTAGAGCTACTTTTCCCGGAAGGTTGCCAAGAGACGTCTTATAACTATCAATTTATAATCCTCCAATTGAATGAGTGCTACACGCTCTGTGTATTTCTCATTGACGAGTATCAGATTGAGCCGTTTGATGTCCTGGTATCCAGTCAATGGGATTCTATTATTTTCGGTCACTACAAATTGAAGATCATGAGACTCACCATTGGCTAGATTGCATACAACTTCCTTGGTCACACCGTGGGTTTTTAGTTTGGATCCGTCCCACATTGTTAACGTTTTCTCCTCACGTCTCAGGTTCGATACATAGCAAACAGGAATGATGTTTACTGTAGCTCCTGTATCAATGTGGAACACTAGGACATTGTTGTGGTCATCTTACACTTGAGATCATTCTGCTGCTTATCTTCTACCTTAATGATCCATTCACTGTCATCACTGGACTCATTTGTATTAGACTCATAAGCAAAAGTTTTAACCTTGACCCGGCGGAATTTACACTTGCTGGCGTAGTGGTTGAGTTTTCCACACTTCGAAAATTGTTTCCCGAAAGCAGGACCCTTGGTTCTATCCCATACGTGTGATTTACCACAAAACTTGCAAGATTTAAGGTTCTTCTCTGGAGCCCTGGTTTGACGTTTTCCAGTCTTACTGACAGTGCTCAATTTTTTAATCGTATCCTTGACTGACATGGACTGCATTCTGGTAACTGCGTCGTTCAATGTTAAATTACTCTTTTCTAGGAGCTGTTTTCTTGTGCTATCACATCTAATACCGACGATTATTTTATCTCGAATTAGTTCATCTTTTAGCGTACCAAAGTCACATGACATTGAAATTATATTGCTCATATGTAACATTGATGTTCTCTAACTAATGATGGTCTCATCGAACCTGCCAATTATACACTCGCCCGTCGACAAAGCATTATGGTAGTCGTTCTTTTTCTTGGGCTTCTGTCTTCCTTTGGAATGCTCTGCCTATTACAATCCGACAGGTAACTTCCATTGATGATTTTAAGGCAGCTTTAAAAACTCACCTTTTTAGCTTGTATTTTTTTTAATTTTTTTTCCCGAATTTTATTTTTACTGTTAAGCGCATTGAGGCTTTAGCATAATGCGCTATATAAGCCAAAATTATTATTATTATTATTATTGATGACTTTGGTTCCTATGGCATTTAGTTCTGTCCTGATCGATGCAAGGAGATTACCCCAGCCTTTAATTCTTTAATTAATTCTTTAGGCCTTTCGCCCATCGAAAACCAAATACAGTTATAGAACATTTGCATTTATGATAGAGCATTTAATGGATAATAATAATATTAATTATAGTAATAATGGTAATGATAATAGTAATAATAATAATAATAATAATACTATTAACAGAAATGCTTTAAAAGATTGATTACTAAAACATCAAAAAAGAACTATTCTATTTGATTTATTTATTTATTCAAGACTTAATAGTGTATCAAAAACACCAATAACAGAGTCGCCATAAAAAATATACAATATCATTCATAAAAATATATAAGATTTTAAAAAAAAAACATAAAAAGCATAAAAAAGTCGTAATAATATATTAAAAACCGGTATTTAGTATAAGATATATAAAACATGTTTTTTATTTTTCTCTTCTTTTTCTTTTTTTTTTCTTATCTATCAGTTTACAGATAGTAATAGCAATAGCAATAATAATAATAATAATATTAATATTAATAATAAAAATAGTAATAATAGCTATTTCTTTTTAAATATATGACATTCTTCATTAAAGTATTGACATTGTTTTTGATCGTCTCTTAAAGAATAAATATAGCATAAATGAGAGTCTCTTCTGAAGATAAAAACAATTAAATAAATTAACTAATTTGAGAGAAGTCGGATTTTCTATATAATATTTAGGTAAGAATTGTGATCTAATTAAATTATATGCAGGGCATTCTAGCACAAAATGAGTTTCATCTTCAATTTTTCCAAAAGTGCACATTCTGCAGAGTTCATCTTGGCAATTACAGGAAATGATATTCAAGTTGTGTGAAGAAGTTGTAATAAGGTTTATACATGCTGAAATTTTAAAGAAAGCGTATTTGTTAAATAATACTGGGTTGAATATAGATAAATGAGATCTGGGTAGAATAAACTATTTTGCAAGTAATTGTCTTTACATCTTTGTTCAAATATTTTTAGAAAAGTAATAATATCTTCTACGGACTGATTTAACCAAACAAAATTGAAACCATTTACACAAAGGATTGATTTCACTTCACATACCCAATTTTTCTTATGATCTTTATACTCAGAAAATTGTTTAAGCATAACGTAGGCTTTACGAGGCAGTCGGTCATTATCCATTTTAGAGAGTCTAAACCAATAAGAAATAATTTTCTTATGGACTTTTATAACTAACAGATAACGACCAAGCTCTCCTCTAGCCTTAACATTTGAGGTTCTATAAGGAATACCCAAGACGTTTTTGCAGAACTTAGTATGGGGTACTTCAACACCCCACGACCATGGCATCGAAAAGTTTCATTTTAAGATCTACATTAATATAATTATTTCCATTAAAGAACCTTCTTACTTTAAAAATACCACGTTCTGCTTGTGTAACAAGCGTGTTAATGGCAACTGACCATGTTGCCCTAGAGCTAAAGTTGACACCTAAGTAACTGTAATATGGAGAAACTTCCACTTGAATTCCATTAAAATCCCATTTCTCATTCTTTTTAATAATTCCACCTTTCCTAAATACCATTGTTTTTGACTTTTTAAAATTTACTACAAGTCCCCACATATTACAGTATTCATTTAAAACATTAAGCATCCTCTGCATATCTCTAGGAGAATCCGCAAAGAGAACAATATCATCAACATATAGAAGACAGAAAAAATTAGAGTCAAAAATTTGCAGACCACAAAATCCTTTGTTTTTTTTTTTTAAATTTACGAACACTGCTAACTGAATCTCTGGAGTTTCATTCTGTAACCCGGAGATAATCACATAGCTATGGTATAACTGCCTAAATAGCTTCCACTCCTTTGCATTATTATCTTTGTCTAACTGCAGCGGAGCAGGCGGTTGTACGCTAATGTTTGTTTTTACCTGGTTTATCTGGTGGCCGTCAATGTCAGCCTGATTCGAGCTTGGGCCTTCGTCAACAGACGTGAGAAATTGCTACCAAATCAACAAGTAGAAACAATATGAGGCATGTCGTGGCGAATGGTTAAGTTGTCGCACAGGCTATGAGCTATAAAATATGGGAGCTCAAAAGAATGCCTAAAAATCCAAATTTGTGTTTCACTATAGATCAACAGGTTAATGTCTTATTAATCATATCCTAAAGAATTAGATCTGGAAGTGGTCAACAAATCGTTTATTTATCGTTATTTTGATAGTTAATTCTATTAAACATTGTATCTACAAATAAATTCGAAAGGCAATTACTCAAAACCATGTTTATTTTGACTCTGAGAGTGCTGTACTTTCACTTTCCAGTAACTAATACCCATTTCACACTAGCAGAAAATATTACAACTTTTAACAACTATTAACAAGTTGTAACAAGTTTGATATTCCGAGATTTTTGGTTCGTTTCACACATGCACTTTCAAACCATGAGAAATCTCAGGAAAACTCGGAAGAATAATGGGTAGTACTAGTAGTAGGCCTAGGCTAGTTGTAGGTTATCCGAATTACAAATCAACTACTAAACTAGGCCTGGTACCGAATTAACAAGATTATAATTACAGAGATCCCAATTCTCCCGAGAATTGCGGGTTTCTCCCGATTTTTGAGGCCGTCTCCCGCCCTCCCGATTTTTATTATTATCTCCCGATTTTCTTTAATATCCCGAAAATTTCACGAAAAATGTGATTTCCACGATGTCATAGAGCAATGAAACAAAATTTCTTATCTTAAGCCAATATACTATGCCGCTCGCTCAGCCATAAAATGTCATAAACAAGGCCAGGGAGTTGTTATTAAGTTGTTTATCAAAATAACAACTCAGGGCAAGGCAGGCCTAGATCCGTGGTAGAGTTGTTTATCCTCCATGTTACGATCTTTTGCATCCAGTGCCGGCCGACCTCATTCAATGAGATGGATGTCAGTTGAGTAAATAAATTTCAACAAATAGTAACGAAATCAGAAATCACATGGGAATGGATTTCCATTTTCTATATTTATTTACACGTTGTCCTGTAATAAGAACATTGGATTTATTGTAATTATAATCCAGTTTCCATTTACTTGAAAAGTCACATGCTGCTTTAAGAAGAGTCACTTGCTGCTTTAAGAAGGAGATTTAGATCTCTTTCGTCTTTACTGACTAACACTACATCATCAGCCCAAAATAAGGCTCCAATTTTAACGTTAAATATATTAACTCCAAGGTTACTGTTTGTTATCATTTTTTGTAATTCATTGATGAAAAATGAAAACAAAATAGGTGACAGTGAACAGCCCTTTTCGGAGGTTTCGCGTATAGTATGCAGAAACTCCAAAATCGGAGGTTTGAATAAAGTTTGAAAACTCCTATTTCGGAGATTTCGCGTACAGTACGCAGAAACTCCAAATTCGGAGGTTTGAATAAAAGTTGGAAAACTCCGATTTTGGAGGTTTCGCGTATAGTACGCAAAACCTCCGAAATCAGAGTTTTGGCGGCAAGCGCAGACACTCCGATTTTGGAGTAAATACATACCTCATAGGTAGGTCTAGCTACCTATGGTATATAGGCCTACACATGTTTCCATTCATACATATATTAGATTTTTTTTTTATATATTTGCTTTTGCAGTTTACTTGAGGTGGGAGATGTGAAGGGAGCCGAAAAAGAGAAGCAGCGAGTGGAAAGTTTACAAAGGGAAAGAAGAAAACTTAGAGAAGAATTAAAGCAAAGCTATGAACCTAGGTTTTTTAAGTAAGTTAATCAGGTATTAATTTAAACTATATATTTATAATTATCCTGAAATGTGTCTCTCTTCAGCTACTTCTCAGTCTACTATAATTTTTCCTATGTATCTGGTACTGGTACTGGTATGGGCATTTATAATGCCTTTTCCTTGTGGTTTTTTATAAAGCACAGTTCTTTTCCCTGGTCGTTTAGTCCACATACTAAAGTATTGCTGCTGGTAAACACCGCAGGAGCAGGTAATTCCACCAGGTACCCATTTATACTCCTGGGTGGAGAGAAGCAATGCAGATAAAATGTCTTGCTCAAGGACACAAGCGAAATGCACAGCAAGGGATTGAAACCCCGATCTCGAGGTTGGGAAACCAAACCGTTCACGTTGCGCCAAACCGTTTCCACATTTATTGTTTTTTTTAAATATTTTATGAGGTATGTCAAGGAAATAGAAAACTTACTTATACTTCTACGTTTCATTTACATGTTTCCGTATTCTGAAATTCACATGAATGTCTTATATGATATCATCATCTATTATGCCTTGGTGATTCATAGGGCCATCTGTCATTCTGATGTCAGCTTTTGGCTGGTATTTTTGTTGAAGAACACAATTTGGCAAGAGAGGAATCAATTTTGATCAGAAAAATTGAAATAAAGATGAAATGTAATGATAGGTGGACGTGAACTGAGCCACATCTATAGCAATTTATTACAAAATAACCAGCGAGAAGCTAAAATCTTGAAGCAAGTTCAAATTTAGCAAATTAAAGTTTACTGGTTTAACCCTTTTCTTTTTAAACATTCGCCTGTAATGCATGTGCCCTATTTTTCTTTTTCTATAAACCAGAGGTGATATCCACATTCATTATATGTATTTAACATCATCATCCATCATCCTCATCATTATCATCATCATCATCATCAAAAAACAGCATCCCATAAACATTTCTTGCAGAAAAAATTTTTTTTTTACAGAATTTAAGAAAAAGGGAAGCCACCTAATAATGCAAAATACCATATTTCAATTTTAACCCCATATGCAATCATATTTCAAAATAACCTGTTTTAGTATTTTTTGGCATCGATTTCAAACCATTTTTCCTTAAAATAAAATGGTCCAGCACCCGTGGGGAGGGGATGGGGGATATTTACTTGCAGCAGTGAAAGGGTTAACATTACTTCAAGGTAATGTTGGAAATGGGGGAAGTACATTTTAAATGGAGGTTTATATAAAATTTTAGCTTCAATAATGAAATCTATGTTTAAAATACAGTATTACAGCTTTTTAACGGAAAAGCCAACTTAGAAACAGCATCTGTACTGACATTGTCCTTGAGTATTCTCATTGTGTGTGACTGCTTGAAAGTAACTCTACTAATATAAATTTTGTTTTTTCAGAAGTATACAACATAATGGTAAATATTGCTGGGTGTTCAAAGGGGAGTATTGGAAATTGAGAGATAATCCAGGATTTAAGGAGATCAAGCTACAAAGTCTATGGTAGTTTAAGAATTCCCTTGCTAATCCTGTATTAATGTATTGCAAACTCTAATCTTCCAGCATAATTTTTACAAGAGTTTTATCAGAAAACTTGCAACATCCACAACATGTGTGAAAGTAACCTCATGATTTAAAAAATTATTTCTCCAGTGGCGTAGCTAGGTGAGTACGGACCCCAGTGAAAGAATTGCCAGGCCTTTTCGTGCCAGCTCCAATGTTTTAAATCACAGACCAATTTTTTAAATTTAAAGAATGAAAATTTTAGGACTAGGTACAGATTTACATTTTCAGAAAATTCATCGTAAGAAGTGCCTCTTACTAGACCCTACTGCCCTTGGCTAGTACTAATAACAATCGAAAGCTTCGTAACAATTTCAAGAGGGGCCTATGCAATCTCAGCAGCTATTTCAGAAATAATTGGTGGCACTTAAAAGTATTTGAGGGGCCTGCTAGCCCCTAATAACCTCCAGGCCCCATTGCTCTGCACTGCCCATCCCTACACCACTGGATTTTTTTGTGAAATGTAGTAAGATTTTATCAGTCCTGTGTCTTAGAGTGAAATCTTTTTAAACAGGATGTGCAATTTGCAATCTTCACATTTTTATTGTATATCACACAAGTTTGATTACTTTTTTTTTAAATTTTGAATCATGTGTGAATGGCAATTTCAGATTTCAAAACAAGTTTAAGTATTAGCCAGTCAAAAATATACTAATATTATACAGTAGGGAACTTTTGAATTGAGTGCACAAATTTTATGAAATATGAATTCGTTTACTGTATTTAAAATAATAGTTCAATTTATACATTTGTGTTTATAATACTCATTTTCTATGAAAATAATCTAGCCAGACAAGGTGTTTTTCTTTTTCATAATTTACTATGTGTACAAGATCTGTTAAAAGGTGATAATGAATTCTTTAAATAATGGTGAGTTTAACAATCAGCCAGTAAATGTTTATACATTGTTTTGTTTACTTTGTTTGCCAACTAACCTAGCCAGACAAGAAATTCAATTTGTTTAATATATTAAGATATGGTATGTGTTGTGCTTAACGAATATACAGTGTACACGAAAAATGAAGAGTATGTAATCCAATATTTGAATTGCTTACTCATTCAAGTAGCATTCGATTTCAATTAGAACAAGGAAATATATGTTACCAACAAATACAAAACATTGTTAGGCTATATTTGTGTAGGGAATTAAAATTGGCCAAGAATCAATTTAAATATTTTTTAGTAGTAAAAGTTCTGTTGAACGAAAATGTGTTTAGATCTGTCTCACATTGAAAGTAAATCAATTATTTAATCATTAAAATGAGCTGCTATTTATTATGTATAATCCATAGTATCTTTGCTAACAAGCTTTATTGATACTGGTGAGAATCGATTCTACTAAAATTGTGCATATAATCAAAGTAATGATATATACTATATACAGTACACACTTTTGAAAACCTCATAATATTAATAATAGTGTAGTTTATCAATAATTATTATATTATTTTTTAAGTCCCAGTGAAAAATGATTTCTAGCATGTCCTATACAAATATTGTTAACTGTTGTTGTCGTCATCGACATTGTCGCCGCCGCGGCTGCCATATTGATAGTTGTTGCTTCCAAATAGTTCCACCATTTTATTTATCTAATTTTTTTTAGTCATGTGGAATAGGCTGGGACATTCAGACAACAGCGCCATTAGAGCTCTAGTTGTGAGCTATGAATCAACATGTTGATTTCTTTTTTGTTTTTCCTGCTTAGTTTAGGACATTTAATAGGTTAATTTCTATGCTTGCAAGTTCATGTTCCATCTCTAGTGCCTTGGGAACTTTCTAAAGTGAATATGTGCACTATAAATCTAATTAATTATTATTTATTAATATTGTTTTGTAAAGCATTTTGACATACCCATTCTGTCCAGTTTTCTATAATTAGTTACAGTAGAATTATAACTAATTTATAGCAACAATTTTTAAGGCAAACACAATTCATTTATAATATGAAATCAGCAGAAGTGTAATTAAAACAACAGTAGTTTTATATGTTTCCAATGTTTCATGATGCAATGTTAATGAATGAATTAGAATCCTATGAAAGTGCACGAAAACAAAGAAAATGAAATCCCAATATAAGGGTCAAAATTGACAAGATTGGTTTATTAACTTTATACAAAGTAACACATGCAGTATGCACCAATATTCACTCTAAGGATTTGGGGAGAAAATTCTGGTTTTCAAAATTGAATTTTCAATTAAAAGTAATTTCAATTTCAATTTATTCAGAAAACCGGAACACAGAAGTAAAGTAGTAAGACTACAATAACTTTAAGACCATAGAACAATTTATTTAAAAGGGATTTATAGTTATTTATACATGTAGTCAATCAATCAATCAATCGTTCCATTTTTATGGTGCCATCCAACACTCGTTGCATATAGCAGAATTAAAATAAAAACCAAGAAAAATTTGACAAATTCTCAAAATACAAAATTCAATCAAATCAATAAGAGGAGAGAACAGAACACCACCAAAAACAGATACATTACAAGCAAAACAACAAACCATGAAAATACATAAACACACCAATTATACTACCAAAGAAAAACAGACTATTTTACTTGGTTCAAAATTCATTTTTACTAGGGTTCAAAATTCATTTTTAGTAGGGGTTATTTGACCATTTGGCACACTGAGAAGGTGTCCCCTTAATAGGGTTGGCAGTTGTTTCGTTGCGAAATAAGACGCAAACTCTCACTATTTTGATGTTTAACTGGAACTTTATTCTCCAAACGCTGTTCGAAGACTATCGAAAAATAACAATAACATTATAAAAAGCAACATGATCTATAAACAAAGCTTGTGAACATTCTCTATAGCCCTAGTTATAATTATAGCAAGAATATGCTAATGAGGTAATCACTCAAGCGTGACGTCCAAACTGTCGTGCACCTACACCACGATCACCAAATTCTCGGGAGTTGTAAACTGCAGTATTAAGGACATTAAGCCAATGAGGTATACTTGATTAGCGAAGGCCCTATTCATATACATGTCTCAAGGTCTTACTTCTCATATTAATTATCCTCTATATCACATCTCAATGCACAGTATGGTGATTATATATTTATGTCATAATTTAACCAATTTAGCCGTACCCACGAATCATGTTACACTCGCCGCTATGCTATGTTAGCTATGCTGACCTCTGAACACAATCCATGTATAATTGTATCATCATTTATTTAAGATTATTCGTATCTATTATTATTTCTCTTGGCATAGATAATTCTTTAATATATGAACTTCTCTTTATCATTCTACTTACATTTTTGGCCACCTAAACAATCAAAAAACGATTAAACTCTAAAACAAACTTCTCGCCATCTTAAAGTCTCTTGGCTCATAGCACTGATTTATGGTTGGTGGCGCTACAACTAATTAAAACACTCCCCCACCAAACAGAAAAGCAAATATGTAATCATTAGTACAGTAATTTGAATTAGGCCTAATCATCTTAAAAAGAACATATTAAATGTCCAATCACAACTAGTTCCTTAAGACAGTTATTGCTCCTCTACAGGAGTCAACAGAACAAGTCTTTGAACAGCTCTCTTAATATAACTCACTACTCCAGTGTCAGTTATTGTTTTCAACTCAATGCTTCTAACCAACGCCTTGTCGTCTGGGAACACTTTAGACACTCTTCCAGTCTTAACTTTTCTCGTTTAACTCCCTCCTCTTGTATCAAAACCACGTCATCTACTTGCAGATTTCAACACTCTGTGTGCCACTTCCTTGTGATGAGTAAAGTTGGGAAATAATCTCTTATCCACTTTCGCTAAAACTCAATTGTACGAATTTCACTCGCTTTGCACAATTTTCCATGTTGCACCACAGACCAGTGGGTGCCTCAGTTGACGAAGGTCCCAACAATAAATCGTTCGGACACAAATAACTACCATCCTCTGGACTTGTCGGGTGTCTACCGATTGGTCTGTTATTCATGATGTTTAATACTTCGAACAATAGAGTCTGCAACTATTCAAACGTTTCTGTGACGCCAATATTCCATGGTGAGTATGGTGTCGACAACTTCCATGTAACACCATGCTTCCCTCCAAAATTCTGTAATGACTCGTTGGCAGTAATCAACTGCGTGCCGCAATCACTATAAACTTGTATGGATGTGAATCTCCTAAATGACTTCAGAAATGCATCTGCACTATAATCTACCGTCAAATCCAAATGCACTGACCTTGTTATGAAACCTGTAAATCACACTATGCCTTTCCTCTGGCTCGCTTGTTGACTTCGTCTCTAGTTGTGAACAGTCCAAATAAATCAACTCCTATGTAGGACCAAGGTGGTGATGGCTTCAATCGCTGAATACAACTGACACAATGATGTTTAATACTTTTTACCATTCGATGTAAGTAAACAATCCAATATTGCGATCGAATCTTTGCAACCGTCGACTGCACTACAAGGTGGGCACTGTTATGGACGCTCTTTGCATATAATCTTGAAAATGCATGATTATATGGCAATAGGGGAACTTCCTCCTTGTAGCTAAATTGAACATTGCAACCAACTCTAGTACCAACTACAATCACCCCGTCTTCGCGGACCTTTGGACCCAGCCGTACATATCTTTTGTCAAACTGTGGCTTGTCTGTTTTCATCATTTGTAACATGCTTTTCTGAGCTTCCTTGACCCAGAAACTTTCTGCCGTTTTTAGGTCGTCTCTTGTGATGTTTAAGGCCGCTGACTTGCAACTCTTTTTTTTTTTTTGCCGTATCCTGAACACCATTGCTGTCACCTTTTTTAACTTGCTCCATTCACTGAATCTGCCAACGTCAATGATTGATGATTCTTTCACGTCGACTGCCATTACCTTTACCCTCTCAGCAAGTTTCTTTCCCCACAGGTTTGTTTTATTGGCCATCTTTCAGTTGGGCTGCACAGAAATTCTGGCCCTGATTGCCACACACTATCTTTGCCTAACTTCCCGGGGTTTCACCTCTACTGATGATGTCTGCCACATTTAATCCACCACCAGTCTGTCGGCTCTGTATGTTGTTGGATTTCTCCGATTCTGCTTGCTGCGAAAGTTTTAAAGCCTAACTTTGCTTTTGGACCATTGCACGAACTATCTCACGGGTGTCTAGAAAACTAAGATCTAGAAAACTAAGACCTAAGATATCTTAGTTTTCTAGATCAAGAAAACTAAGGGTAATGCTAAAGTGCGAGGCAAAACGACGATTCCTGCGAGGCATCGTTTTACCATTCCCAAAAGTGCGTGGCATAACAACGATTCATGCGAGGCATCGTTTTACATCGAAATATGTGCAGAGAACAACGAAAATCCAATGTAAAAGTAATATTATGTACTATATAATAATTATGCGTGATAGTCATTGTCAAATTTAATTTGATTTGCTCAGAAAAGCATGTTACAAATGATGAAAACAGACAAGCCACAGTTTGACAAAAGATATGTACGGCTGGGTCCAAAGGTCCGCGAAGACGGGGTGATTGTAGTTGGTACTAGAGTTGGTTGCAATGTTCAATTTAGCTACAAGGAGGAAGTTCCCCTATTGCCATATAATCATGCATTTTCAAGATTTTTGCTACTTAATTTGATTTGCTACCACAGTGGATTTATTTTTCTCCGCCTAGGCCTAAGCTATTATATAGTCAGTAACATCGCTGATCACAGGGGCGGATCCAGGATCTGCTGCATTATTTTTTAGGGAGCCTCGCAAAATAAAGCAACGCGTATACCCGTCTACAACGCGTGGTTGGGGATTATAATCTCTTCGCGTTGCCGACGAGTGGTTCAAGATACTGATCAAAAATGTTGGACGATTCCATTTCGCGAATTAGCGTTCGTTTTCCGACGTTTTTGTTCTACTTGTTGGCGTCGGTTTATCTCGTGATTTTGATGTACTGTAATTTATCGACAAGTCTCTTTTCTATATGTTTTGTCATAAGTTTCATTCATTATTATGAATTAATATTAATACTATATCCTGTAATTTGTTGTTGAGCTATTCTGTAAAATTGAAAACCGAAATGAATTGAAGACTCGAAACCCTGTCTCTTATACACATCTAGATGTGTATAAGAGACAGCCTACACCACAATCACCAAATTCTCGGGAGTTGTAAACTGCAGTAAGATGTGTATAAGAGACAGCTTTTGAAAACCTCATAATATTAATAATAGTGTAGTTTATCAATAATTATTATATTATTTTTTAAGTCCCAGTGAAAAATGATTTCTAGCATGTCCTATACAAATATTGTTAACTGTTGTTGTCGTCGTCGACATTTTCGCCGCCGCGGCTGCCATATTGATAGTTGTTGCTTCCAAATAGTTCCACCATTTTATTTATCTAATTTTTTTTAGTCATGTGGAATAGGCTGGGACAGTCAGACAACAGCGCCATTAGAGCTCTAGTTGTGAGCTATGAATCAACATGTTGATTTCTTTTTTGTTTTTCCTGCTTAGTTTAGGACATTTAATAGGTTAATTTCTATGCTTGCAAGTTCATGTTCCATCTCTAGTGCCTTGGGAACTTTCTAAAGTGAATATGTGCACTATAAATCTAATTAATTATTATTTATTAATATTGTTTTGTAAAGCATTTTGACATACCCATTCTGTCCAGTTTTCTATAATTAGTTACAGTAGAATTATAACTAATTTATAGCAACAATTTTTAAGGCAAACACAATTCATTTATAATATGAAATCAGCAGAAGTGTAATTAAAACAACAGTAGTTTTATATGTTTCCAATGTTTCATGATGCAATGTTAATGAATGAATTAGAATCCTATGAAAGTGCACGAAAACAAAGAAAATGAAATCCCAATATAAGGGTCAAAATTGACAAGATTGGTTTATTAACTTTATACAAAGTAACACATGCAGTATGCACCAATATTCACTCTAAGGATTTGGGGAGAAAATTCTGGTTTTCAAAATTGAATTTTCAATTAAAAGTAATTTCAATTTCAATTTATTCAGAAAACCGGAACACAGAAGTAAAGTAGTAAGACTACAATAACTTTAAGACCATAGAACAATTTATTTAAAAGGGATTTATAGTTATTTATACATGTAGTCAATCAATCAATCAATCGTTCCATTTTTATGGTGCCATCCAACACTCGTTGCATATAGCAGAATTAAAATAAAAACCAAGAAAAATTTGACAAATTCTCAAAATACAAAATTCAATCAAATCAATAAGAGGAGAGAACAGAACACCACCAAAAACAGTGATAATATGTTAAGAGATCGTAATTCAGTAAATATCCCATAGCCCATTGAGTACAGGACCATGAGAGTCAAGCGTCTAACTTTTACTTTGATAGAACATAGAGTACTGTATGTCAAAACCACAGGCCTGTGTTACCACTCACAATTTTTAATATACCCAATGTCTGGGTCGAAATTACCCAAGATTCAGCAAAAATTGCCCAAAATTATCCAAGCTTCCTGAAAATGCATTAAAATTTGAAAAATACGTGTTTTTCGCATGTATAGTTTTCCTTTTAGTTCAATTTATAAACCAATTTTTTATTGTAATTGTTTGTGTTAATTATTAAAATTAATATTCATGAGGTGATAATACAGATAGAAAAAAACGCTCTCAGTCGGCCAGTGTTATCAGTAAATCAGTGATCAAGTTTTATTATGTAATGCATTAATTAGGTATGATCAATGGCAACACAAATCACAAATAAACAATTCTGAACCCGTGTTTATTAACAGTCAATTAACAATGTTATGTGCACTTCGTTGAGTTTTGCTTACTTGAATGGACTGAAATATACTTTGTTACTTCTTAATTCTTCCTCTATGACAAAAATATTTAATTTCTTAATAAAAATAAAATACCCAAGGATTTGAACGGAATACCCACGAACCCAAGACCAAGTCAAAATACCCAAGATCTTGGGTAAATATCCAAGCAGTGGTCACGCTGCCACAGGCCCTAAACTTCCAGCCGGTGATGCAGTACACTGCAAGCCTGGAAGACGTTCCAAGTCCACTTGATACGCCGTGGCATACCGGTATCAACAATTGAAAACTACTTTTATACATTACCAGTGCGTTTTATAAATGAAATTAAAATCCCTGTAGTAAAATAACATAGTCATTTGGTACATTCAAGCGTTTAAAAACGATTTAATGATATACATCTTAAATTTAATTATTTTGAAAAATTATTATAAAATTAATAACCCATATGGAATGGTAGAGTCCATGGTTAATCAACGACGCATCAAAACATGTGCTTCGCTGTTTGAAAAGGGGTGAAAGTAATACATTGAACAGCAATCTAGAGAAAACAATATTTTACAGTATACAATACAATACGTTTTTTTAAAGAGCCTGATAATCATATATAATAAATATATTCTTTTACACTAAACTTCGAGTTTAATCAACATTGAAATAGAATAGAGTCTAGTTTGTGCCGCATCAAAACATGTGTTTCATCGGTAGAAAGGGGTGAGAGCAGTGCATGTAAAGGCCAACTCAGACAGCGTCGGCCGACGCAGCCCGACCCGATTCATCGCCGGGGACAGTCTTGAGCCGTCGTGAGAAATATTAAACATGTTTAATATTCTACGACGCGACTGCCCCCGACGCACACCATCGCGTCGGGCTGCGTCGTACGACGCTGTCTGAGTTGGCCTTAACTGCTAGCTGGAGAAATTTTTTTTTGCTCTTTTTGAAACGTTTCTCGTCACATACAATGGATATACTGTTCCATCAAAGTTCCAGATTAATCAATATTAAAATAGATAACATATAGGCCTAGGACAACTGCTCACATTTATATCAGATAAAGGTACTAATATGAAGTTCATTATTTTTTTTGTATTTCGCTAACACTGAAGGAAGTGTACCCTATCTACGTTCATGATCGAATGTAGGCCTACTGTCGTCCTAGACAGTTTTATTTAATAATCTTAATACTAAACGATATAAGAAATGATAATTTTAAAGACTAACTGTAAAAAAGATATAATTATGCCTAACAAAAATTCATAAAAATTGCCTGTTTTCGTTTTTTAATTTTACTCTGTAATTTTTCTGAGTCAGGGTTGTGGCTTAGACTCCCAACCTTGAGGTCAGGGGTTCGAAACTCTGGCTGTGCAAATCGCTTGTGTCCTTGGGCAAGGCACTTTATCTACGGTTGCCTCTCTCCACCCAGGAGTACAAGTGGGTACCTGCCTCTCTCCACCCAGGAGTACAAGTGGGTACCTGGTAGGTACCAACCTGCGCTGATTACTAGCTGCAATTTATTGAATGATAATATATTTTCATTTACTAATTTAATTTGGTGTTTCAATGTGTTCCATATGTGTTTGATCCAATGACCGGGGTAGTATTGTGAAGCGCTTAGAGGCCTTGTAAAGGCATGAAGCGCTATATAAGAACGACATATTATTATTATTATTATTATATTTCTGCTGTCTGTTGGTTTTGATCGTAACGGTGACGATAATCTCGATAAATTATTAAATTATTCTCAGAAATATAACGTGAGCTTGCGTTATTTCCAATAGAGTTTATTTTTATACGAGACGTTTTTGTTTGTGTTAATTGGGTTTTTACACTAAGCCTGTTATCAATTCCCCACTACGAAGTGGAGTAGCCAGGAAAATAATCCCAACGCGTGACCAACTATGGGATTAAACTATGGAACGCCAAAAGGACAAATTACAAGTGGCGCAGTGCAAAAGTCAGTCGCAGTGCAAAAGTCAAGTGGCGCAGTGCAAAACTAAAGTGGCGAAGTGCAAACTCAAAATGCATGTGCCACCACTTTAGTTTTGCACTGCGCCACTTGACTTTTGCACTGCGTCACTTGAATTTTATACTGTGCTGCTTGACTTTTGGGGATATTGTATGGAACGCCAATTTGGCATTAAAATGGAAATTAACTAATTTTTACTAGGTAGGCCTGTATTGTTATTATTATTATTATTATTGTTATTATTATTATTATTATTATTCATATCCCCCAATAGGGAACCTCGGCCCCCGTCGGGCAAATTCTTGTGCGACCCCTCAAACTATATTTAGGCAAAGACAAATTAAAACAATAATTACATACACATTCGCAAAAGTATAGTGTAGCCCAAGAGAATGAATTTTTCTTTCTTTTATTGAATGTTCTGGAAATAAATTAAATCCCACTTTAGTAGTATGTTCTATCTCCTTTTTAAATCACCATTTACACATGTAATTAATTAGGATCCTATTCCTCAATCATCTACATCAACAATTGGACACTGAAATACACAGGTTTAATATTTAATACTAATTTACTTTAGGCGATATTGTATGGAACGCAAATTTTGGCATCAAACCTAATAAAATAAATGAATAAAAATATCAAGAACACATAATTCTGTGCCTACCTCCACCCTATGCCTACAAAATTCACGAAGGCTGGTGATTCCATTCTTTTCTTAATATCCTCAGCTTTATTTGGACTGCATTGCAGTGTGTAGGCTCACTTATATTAAAACAAGACAAGAAAGGCAAAAGTGCAACAAACAACCCTGATTAATAGAATAAAAGTCAAGTGGCACAGTGCAAAACTAAAGTGGCGCAGTGCAAAATTCAAGTAGCAGCACACGCATTTGGATTTGCACTGCGCCACTTTCGTTTTGCACTGCACCACTTTAGTTTTGCACTGTGCCACTTTAGTTTTGCACTGTGCCACTTGACTTTTGCACTGCGCCACTTGTAATTTGTCCTTTTGGCGTTCCATATCAAACTGCCTTTAATCGCATCGCGTGGTCCACTCTTATACGCGTTGCTTTATTTTGCGAAGCTCCCTTATTCCCATACAATTAGGACAGAAATTATAGAGGGCGCTATTTAAGGTCAGTTTAATGAGCTGTTAAAAGTTCGACGTTCGGTATTTGTAAAGACCACCGGTAACGAAGTTGCTATTATAAGCGTACGTTGGAAATTGAAGATTTATGTACAAGATTAGTAGATGCTAAAAAACCAAATATCATACTTTGTTGTGCAAGAGTAGTAGTAGGCCTATTGATTTGCGCTACGAGGGATGCACGAGGCATGAATAGCTACATTTAATGTATACTTTGTTTATATTGGAAAGTATAATACATACTCCAAGTATTGAAATACACGCCATCGTGTTGGGATTCAATATTTTGATATTAATTCGGTCGAATGGCCGAGTGGTTAGCAGGGACGCCGCAAACTATAGCCATAATATCGGCGCTGGTTCGAACGGCACGCTCGCCTATGGTTCTGGTGGTAGAACAAGTCTTCTCGGATAAGGACTATACACCGTCTGTCTCTTATACACATCTAGATGTGTATAAGAGACAGGGCATGAAGCGCTGGACGACGAGAGTTGCTGGTACCGGGTTACCGGGTAGCACAGACACGAAGGGACCCTTAGGGGCGAAGAAAGTCATTGGTCGAGTTCCTAGTCTACATTTCAAGCGCCCTGAGCATCTTACATTAGATGGATATGTACGCTATATAAAACTACACTATTATTATTATTATTATTATTATTATTATTATTATTATTAGTACCTTTATCAAGAGACTCTGCAAAACTCAATCTATTTGGACACCACCAGAGGGCAGAAATGCTAAACAGAGTTCGTTCTGAAATAATAAACAAACATCAACGCCTACGCTATAAACCTTACATCTAGTGAGAGAAATGCGATTAAGAGCCTTAAGAACAACGACAACATAGTGATTAAACAAGCCGACAAAGGTGGAGCTACTGTTATTATGGATCGGACTCACTACATCAATGAAGCATCATGGCAACTGCGTAATACTGACTTTTACGCTGCACTCAACGATGACCCAACAAAAAAGTACCACAATGAACTCAAACAACTAATTCAATCTTTCCCTCCGGACATCAGGAAACAACTCAGCACGACTATCCCTGCAGAAAGCTGCCCCGGGACATTTTATATGCTTCCTAACATACACAAGCCAGGAAATCCAGTACGACCAATCGTTTCTAGCATTGGAACTCTCACAGGACTTGTATCAGGTTTTGTTGACGATGTTCTGAAAACATTTGCTACATCGACACCTAGTTACTTACAGGACACCACAGACTTCCTGAACAAACTCAGTCAATTTAGTAACCTACTGGACAACACGATTCTGGTTACAATGGATGTCGCCTCGCTATATACAAATATCCCTCACGAGGATGGTATCCAAGCAATCAAGAACATACTACCTGATAATCTACTTACGGCAGCTACTACTGAACTTGCTCGATTTGTTCTCGCTCACAATTATTTTGAGTTTAACAATTCTCTATACAAGCAGATTTGTGGAACAGCTATGGGAACATGCATGGCACCCCAATACGCTAACCTCTTTATGGCCAACCTGGAACAAAATTTTCTAGCACACTCATCATCACCACTCGTTTATTACCGCTACATAGACGATATATTTATGATCTGGACTGATACTCTAGCCGAACTTGAATTTCACAGAGGATTAAATAACGCCCATCCCACCATTAAACTCACCATCGAACACTCTAACGAAGAAGTCCACTTTCTAGACACAACTGTCAGCTTCAGGGAAAATCAAAACTTCAATATATCGCAAACCCACCGACAAGTGCAGCTATCTTAACCCTTCAAGTTTCCATCCTCCCCATACTTCTAAATCGATAGTTTTCAGTCAAGCGCTACGATGTAGCAGGATATGCTCAGATTTAGATGACAGAGATAGCAAGTTAGAAAACTTAAGACGGACATTTTCTGAATCCACAACAACAGATCGTAGACGAACAAATCACCAAAGCTAAAAGAATACCTAGGGACACACAGCTTCAGTACAAAAGGAAAACAACTAATAAATACATTCCCTTGGTAGCCACTTATAGCCCGCATCTTAAACCACTACAACGGATCATTAATGACTTGCAACCAATAATCAACGAAGACAACACATTATCCAAGATCTTTCCTGAGAAACCCATTATACCATACCGACAACCAGCCAACATCAAGCAGCTTATTACATGCAATAAACTTAGCAACTCAGACCAACATAACGGAACTCTACCCTGCAATAAACCACGTTGCTTACTATGCCCACACATTAACACTGATAACAAAATATCTGGACCTAACCAATCTACCTACCAAATCAAGGGAAGCCACACCTGTACTACATCTAATATAATATACCTTATATCATGCCTCAATGTCCTAACACCATATACAGTATATCGGAGAAACGAGACAAACGATACGCAAACGGATAAATGGACACAAATCTGATATAAGACATAGCATGATAAACCTGTTGGATTACATTTCAACCTCCCAGGACATAGCATACGCGATCTTAAATTATCAGTGCTACAGAAAAAGAACTTCAAAAGCAGATTTGATAGAATGATCTCTGAACAAAAAATGATTAATAAATTTGACTCTATAAACAAAGGACTGAACCGAGATCGTGGATTCCTGTCGCACTATTAAACCCTTATTCCTTCGCAATATCTTTTTCATTGACTATTTATATATATACTATACTATACTACTACTACTACTTTTTTTTTTATATCATTATACCTTTATCATTACGGTTTCTGTTGATTTTTATGCTAATTTTTCTGTTTTTCTGGTTGTTGTTTTTTTAAAAAATTATTATCTACCCCGATTTGTGGTCATTTGCTGTGTTTAGTGTGCACTTGTTATTTCATCCATGACGCTTTGTTTATCCCTGGTCTTTTCGAGCCTGATATTCTATTTATACTTTGTTTATATTGCTCATTTGCATATAATTAAAGTTTATTCAGTTTGACTATGTGCTTTTCAATTCATTCACCTGATGAAGCTTGCTCAAGCTAGCGAAAGCTTGTGTTTCATTAAATTTTTGTTAGTCTACAGAAGGTGCTACTCTATTCATTTTGTTTGTATTTTATATTTATTGTATTTTTCAGTAGGCCAACAAAACTTTCATTTAATTGGTAATTATTAATTTAGGTCTTGCTTGCTGTAATTTATTTCTCTACTACGATGATACGATTAAGTAGACAAACACTATAAAATATACTATACTATAACTATATTTATTGAACGCCGTGGCTAGAGATACGGTACCGTATCGCAACTTCCGATTGCTAAAGGTATACGGTAAATGATATTACGTCATGATTAGCCAATAGAAACGCCGATACATGCGTGACGTCATGCAGTGCACTGCTGCTGTAAGAGAGTATGTTAGCAACGATCGAAGATAAGAAATTTTGTTCGTTCGCAAGTGTTGTTGACAAGCTGCGATTAATATTCTGTAGCCCGAGGCCCTATAGCGATTAAAAAGGATAGCAGTTTTGCTAGATTTGGCGACATCAAGCGAGAATAAAGTATTTTAATAGTAGAAGCCATGCCTAGGCTTTGCTACCCCTGCCTTAGCTGAAACCTAGCGAAGCCGGAGGGCCTAGATAGAGATTAGTAGGCCGGCCTAACTCTATACCTAAACTAGCAGCTATGCCTAGGTAGGATAGGCCTGCCTGAACATCTCTAGGCCTAGGTCCGACCTTTCCTGTTGTTACTGCCTATCTTAGGCCCTCACCCTAGTTGAAACCTGGCTATAAATTTAATTTAATAGGAAGTTAAAAAAGGGGAAAAAATTGATCAGATGTTCAGGATCGGCTCCTGCCGGCAGTCCATATTATACGGTAAACAAAGTTGAATAATTTTTTTTTTAATCGGAACCATAGACGAAAGGTGAACGCATGCGTACACATTCACTGCCATGGCATGTGTTTGCACCTAAAAAAATAGCCAGTCGAATTTTATCCTCTGACCTATACTCCAATCTTTGCAGTAGTGCGCCCACAAGTTCCTGAAGACGGCGTACAAAGGATGTCTGCTTCACCCTAAAGAGTACTGGGAACCTGTTTTTGGGGCGTTTCTTTCCGATTTTTATATTTAGTTTCCATGCAACAATACCGTAGACCTTGTGAGTGGAATTTCCGGCTTATATCAAAAGAAGCCTGAAACAGCCATTACATTGTAGGCCTATAAATTTTATTTAAACTAAACATTTTCCTATTTCCATTTATTTGTATATTCTATAAACATGCCTAATCAAAATATGTATCGACAATGTAAATACAACAAACAAGAAGATACAAACCATGTGTCTGCTTCACCTCAACATAATTGTTGAAAACATTTCTTTCCTCAAATTATAGTGTAGTTAGTAATTTCTTTAGTTAATTTCTATGCAATGAGTGATTCTGTCGGTCTTATAAATACAATAATATATTTGCTTTATTTTCATTATCACATCATTCAGTGTATTTTAATTTATTTTGGCCTATGTATCGTTATAAATATACATTTGGTAATGTAAATGGAGATAAAAAAAAAAAAAAAAAAAAAAAAAAACTTATGGCAAACTAATCCGCTAAATTAACTATAAGCCTACTTATTTTATAAATCTAAATTTTATTGAATCATTTATAAACATGATCCAAATATATATCTTAGCACTACTAACAATATCTTACAATGATTTTCCATCAAGTTCTGCCACTAATAACGCCAGATTTTAGCATTTTATTACTAAAACCACATCTTTCAATGCCTAAACTATAGTTCCATCCTTTGTCTCCGTGTTCAGCGAAAATATGATGGCGAATTGGTGATCGAGCCTAATTCTGTTGCCAGAATTCAAACTATGTGTGTTGGTGTTGCCAGAATTAGTAAATCAAGATCAAGCGTCAGATTCTGAACTTATCTGAAGAGCGATGAGAAGTTCTCGTGAGAGAAGGGAAATGGAAGACAGCACAAACATGCATACATTATTTATTTAATGAAAGAATGAATAAATAAATATATGAAGGTCCTAAATGCAATGTCCTGGGTGTAATAATGACCATGATTGAAAATTCATTGATTGATTGATTGATTAAGTGAGTGAGGGGTTGTTTAGGTACGTGGATGGGTGAGTGACTGATTGCTTGATTAATTAATTGATTGATTGATTTAATAATAATAATAATACTATAATAATAATAATTTGATTTAATTTAAGTTTATTCAGAAAATCATTGCACAATTACATCGAAACATTGTAAAGAAAAACTTATAGGCCTAATAAAAAATTAATATCAAACAGAAAGCACAAACAATGATAATGATAATATCTTAATAATAATAATTATGATGTTGATGTTGTTATACTTATATACCGCAAAATTCATGAGCTTCGATGCGCTTAGAATTATATATATATATATACAGTATATATAATTTCAATTCGAAAAAAAAACACAATACAAATAAACTTGGTCGATTAAAATATCGAGATATGAAATTCATAATCAATACATAATACATTTAAATAATCATATATATATATATATATATATATATATATATATATATATAAACATAATAATAATAATAATAATATAATAATTTTATTTAATTTGAGTTTATTCAGAAAATCAATGCACAATTACATCGAAACATTGGTAAAGAAAAACTTATGATGTTTTTCTTTACCAAAACAGAACAGAAAGCACAAATAGTAGCATTCTACTCCAGCAGAATACCGGTACATTTTTTTCTAACCTGGTTGGGATCCATACAATACGTCTTCTATGATCACACAATTGTTTTCAATTCACGCAATCTGACGGTAATGTGTTGTAGTTCAATATGTAATGAAAGTGTACATGTATCATTTCACACAAAAAATAAACGCCTTAGTGTGTATAAGAGACAGATATTATACAATTTTAAAAAGTGCTCAAAAGCTATAAATTAACAAAAAGTATGTTTGACAAGATACTAATATATTTTTTGGTGGGGAGTTTAATGACATAAAAGCAAAATCCATCAAATATCAGAACACGCCCCCAAGACACTCAGGGAATTCTTGTTTGTGATGCAGTTTATACAGTAAGTGATTTACTAATACCATAACACTGTTAAACCTGTCTCTTATACACATCTAGATGTGTATAAGAGACAGTTATATATATAACTGAATTAAACTATCGCAAGTATTACAAGGAGAGTGCTCAATGGTAGAGCAGATTGCCTAATAAAATTAGGCAATTTTATCTGAAGAGTGTCACATGTGTTGTTCCGTCCTAGTTGTTGCTATGGATCTGAGATAAGAGGTTCACGTTCAGTCAAAGTCCGTTACCAAGTACGTTCATTGTTCTGAAGTGAAGGCGTATTGTAAACCCTATCTCAGACCCATGGCAACGACTAGGACGCTCTCCCGAAAAGTGCACAACCCCAAAAATAGCGGAAAACGATATCTTATTTAGTATAAGATCTTTGATTTGGGGCAGTTAAGTTGTGAGGGTTGTCAAAGATCTTATAAATACAAGATAGCGTTCTCTTTAGAACATAATGAACACGTTAACGTACTTGGTAACGAAATTTTGCGTAACGCGAACACCCTATCTCAGCATGGTAATAGCGAGTTTTAGATCTGCGACGACGAGTTACTTGGAACGGTATGACGTTAATGTAAGGCATATGCGCATGCGTAATTATATTTATAATGCTTGGGTTTCGTCGAGTTCATTCGTAGAGGACGTGAAATCAGCCGGGAATCCGTCGTCACAGACATACACTTCTGACCAATCACAGTACGTCAATTGGCAGTCGATCATGTCAACACCAGCTCAACACTAGATTCGTTTTCAAGCTCGCGAATCTCTTGCTGGGCTTTGTTGTTCACCAAGAAAATATGGCTAGAAAATTGTAAGTTTAAACGTTTTATATGAATATGATTACTTTTGTTTCAATGATTGATAATGGTATAGGTATATCACTTGTATTCTTGTTTGCTTTCATAGAGTAAAAATAACGTAAGGCTTCGATCGATATCCAGATAAACTTCAGGAACGCCCACCCCATAGACCTGTCACCTAGGCCTAAATATAGTGTAGGCAGGCCTAGCCTAGGCCTAGTAGTATAGGCAAAGGCTAGGTCTATATTAGGCCTATGTACAGTCGGTCTAGTATCCTACATACTACTACTACTACTACTACTACCATAAAGACATAAAGCCCTACAAACAATATATGGATTGAAGAAAAAATATAAAAATAAATTAGATACGAAAAATCAGCTGCATCGGGCTATTTATTAATATATTAATCCTATAATTAGGCATGGCCTAGGGCTAGGCTAGGGCCTAAAAAATAAATTTAAATATTCATTTATTTTACTTTTTCAGATTAACGTTCAATAGTAGTAGCCTAACTCTACCCACTACAACTGCAAGTTCCGGAATCAACTCTATCCAACAACTTTTTGCATGTAAGTTAAGGCCTATATTACTACTTTTTTTGTTAAATTGGATTTAAGTAATGTGTTGTTTTATTTAGGTCTAGATATTTTATAGGGTCCTGAGGCCTAGGTATGTTCGTTTTTTGGGTGTGTGTTTTGGGTAGAGATTTCCTTTCCTTTCTCTTTTTTTTTGTTAATACTGTAATACCTTCATGCATTTTACAACACACATTTTGAGTCTATCTTTTTTACCAGTTTTGTACACGCTTACTGTATCTGTTTCAGATGGACAACAAACACCAGGAGCAATACCCATTGTTGTAAGTTTTCAAGATAGACTGATTTTTACTGGTAAGTTTTCCAACTTTATTGATCTTGTCTTAGAATATGTAGAATATATGTAGTCAATGTAAATGAACAAATATTACCGTATATATTCCTTTAATACCACTGCCAATATTTAACTCAAACCTATTAAAGTTTTTGTTACTTTGCACCATAAAAAACATCTTAATTTTTTATTTCTTTTTTTCTACTAAAAAATGAGGATTTAATGTATCTCTTAAAAATGAGTACTATTATGATGACCTCAAATACTAAGCCCCTCACATCAAATGTATGTAATGTCATGTTGATTAATGCAATAATGGAACTTTATTCTTGAGTAAACTTTATCAA